ATACTTAAATTGGTTTTGCGGTACATTAATATTGTATTAAAGCAATACCACACAAATTTACGGTATTTTGTGGAATGCTATATATTTTTTGGAACACCATAATTTCTGCATTTCTTTTTTTTAGTGATTGATGGACAAATTAAGAGAATATTAAGAAACTGCTATGTGTCATTGGGTGTGCTAATAATGTGAGATAAAGTTAGGCAGAAATTTTGTTGTAATTAAATACTAGCCAGTAAATGTTCTTATGTTACATAGGTAACATTCATTTCCATTTGGCGGGCTGCTTTTTACATTAAAGATAAAATAAATGTGAACATGCTTTGATAGGAATTGAAATGTGCGTCTAAGTAACAGAAATGTTTGACGCACACAGAACAAGCTTTGTCTTCAAATAACAGTAGACTCCTCCAGCTGCATTATTCTTTTGATCTAAAACAGCTCAAACTCCTTTGTGAAACTTTTCATTGGATATTTCCTGATTGTTTCCTGAGCTCTGACACAACCACAGTAACAAACCGCCAAAAAATCAAAGGAAAAAGGCTGTTGTTTACTCATTAAATAAAAAACAATCTTTTAATCCACCAAGATAACATTTTTTTAAATCACTTGCAATTGGCATTCTTTATGTACTCCAAATGCAATATAGAGCACACTATTCTCTATAAGTAATTCTTTTTTCTAAAATTCCCTCACAAATATGTTGTATTTTTTCTAAAGCTTCTTTAAACTCCTTTACTTTATGTTCATTACAATTATTTAGTTTTTTTTGATTTACAAGATTACTGAAAAACTCACTCTTAGTTTCATAATGGGGTACCATCCTTTTAAATGCACATAAAGTTTTATTCAATTGCATAGAACATAACAGCACATCTTCACTCATCACTTACAACAGCTCTTTACTGATTGGGATAGAACTAAATACACAACAGGCACAAAAAACATGAATATATAAAATACCAGGAATTAATTATTAGTTAAATTGTATTTTGCAACCACAAATCTAATACTCTAAAATATTTATTTAAATCAAATCCTCAATGCCATATCTTGTACAATTCAATTGGGAGTGGTGGGGGTGAGAGGGGAGATTCACAATGCTTAATTCTGTAGCTCCTCCAATGGCCTACTCCAGTGGGTAAAGCAGCTTTCCAGTATTAACACTAATGCATAACCAAAGGTGTTCACATATTTGAATCTTGATCTGTATTGAGTTAGTTGATCTCAATTGGGACAACAGTTGGTATGATGTCATTCACACCTCAGCGACCCTGGGTTAGGGAAACAGGTGGGTTTCCCATTTCATTATCACGATCGAATAACCTCTACTGGAAAGTGCTTTTGTTTGGATATTGAAGGAAACAGGACAGAGCTCACATTTGATGATCCCAATGGTTGACTAGCTTGCCAACACTCACATATAAACAATGACCATGTGGAATGGAAGTAGAGGTTGGCTAGCACTCGTGCAATTATATTCTGGAGGAGTCAGTGCGTTCAGTGTAGCTCGTGAGAAGAAAAGTACCAAAATAAAAACAGAACACATGATCACAGTGATTTATTAATGATAGTCTGATCACATAACCTGTTTAGGACAGAATAATTCACCCATGGAATAAATCAAACATAATTTTGATGTTCTGTCTCCTGTTTCCTGCCATTAGTATTTATAACATAAAGATGTTTCATTAGATAATGCATAAAAGATTTCCCCAGCATGTACAATTTTTAAAAGGAACCTATAGTCTGACAAGAAGTAATTTATCAAGTTCAGTGAAAATTTAATAAAACTGGTTTAAAGTTATTGAAATGTAATTTGTAGATGTTTGGTTGGCCAAGCTGTTTGTATTTCATTCAGATTTGAAGGAAACCAAGTGAAAAATATAATATAGTTTGAAAATCCAAAAAGCACTTTAAAATTCAGATAACAGACCATGATTATGTGCCATTGACAAAAATAATATTAAATAAGATCACAAGATGTACGGATGAAAAAGGCCCTTCAGCTGATTTGATTTCACTACAATATTACTATTCCTTGAATTTACTATGTCTTTCATATCAGGAAACAAGATTTATTGTAATGCGAAGTGATTGTATTTTGTAGGTGAATCAGCAGCCAACAATCCAAATAACATGGCTGTTTATAAGACATTATTGTGCGCAGTAATGTCTCACAAACAGCCATGAAGTGAATGACCAATTTTATCATGGGGATTGTTAGTCAGGACACCAGGAGAAGCTCTATTCTCTTTTCAAATGCCATGTCAATAATGTCTACCTTTAATATCTATGTGGACACACATACAGAACCTCGGTTTAATGCCTCATCCTAAGGCTAATAACAATATTAATAATTCTTACATTTGGTATAATGACTTTCATCTCAGAAGGACGTCTCAAATCATTTTACGGGATATGCTGTAAAATGTAGTGACTTTTGTTTCTGGACAAACTTTAGAAACCCAGCAAATTGTTCTCCCATTAGAGCATTAAATAGTTTCTTGAAGGAGTCCAACATCCTCGCCCTTACCACCCTCTGGTTAACCCTTTCCAGCTGTTAATTACCCCTTTGGGGCTCCTCTACAGTAAAGGCTACCAGCATGTCTGTGCTGCCTCCTCATTTGGATTTGTTCTGTAGTGTACAGTTGTTATTTCAAATTGTGCTATAATATTTTTTGAAAAGAATATTTCTAGTTTGTTTAATCACAATCAAGAATAATAACAAAGTAAAAACAAAAGTTTATGCTTGTGAATGAGCTCCAATAGGTTGAAATTCCAGTCATATCATACATATTGTTGCTTTTGGTAAACTCAGCAGTTAATGGGATCTCTCCCGTTATAATTGGACATTGCCAAGAGCGCTTTGGGTTACACTGACCAGAATTTCTGCAACAAATGGTTTATTGGGTGATTCATTACTGTATTTTGTTCAACGTGTGCCCTAACTTTTAGGGTAAATCTATAAAAAATAAATGCAGTACTGTATATTTTGAAACAATGGCTGGAATTTGTAGCACACTTAAACTTTTGTACTAATATGTTCAGGGAAACAAAATTGTGCATTACAGAAATAACAATATAGGACTAACACAGAGACTGAACTTTTATTATCAAAAATACAGTCAAAATTACCCAAAAATCAAAGTGTGTACACTCTGCCAGTCATTTGGCTGATCGCTTTTCCGGGGGTAATAATTCATTTTGTAAAAAAAATAAATTGGTCACTTCGATCCATGACTGTTTGTGGGACACTGTTGTGTGCAATTGTGTGCCATGTTTCATCCACAAAATATACAGTCAGTTTAGAGTATATTATGTGAAGTGCTTTGAGACATCTCAAAGACGTGATAACGCTATATCAAACGCAAGTATTATTATTTCTAAGCAGCATTGGCTGACAGATGATAAATACACCTAATATTTCAGACTGCCTGGTTGCCTTCATTGTTCAATGAGTTATGAGGGCCTGGATTCAGGGTCACTTCCAAGGATAATGGAAATCAATTAGAGCTATTGAACTCACAAGCTCCATTTACAAAGGGACCATGCAAATTCTGTCCCTTAAAATATATCTATAGCTAAATGATACCTTTTCTTAAGGAATTGTAAGATTTAAGGAAAATGCATCCTTTAAAATAGGCACCAAATCTCTTTCCGCAACAAAATTGCATTGATAAATATTTTGTGTGTTAAAAGCAATGACTGAGTCAATTCAAACAACTTGCCCTATTCTGTGCAGTCACAAGGGTAAGAAATTAATCTTCCTGCTGATAAGATGCCCATACGCTATTATCTCAATGGTGTGAAATTGCATGCATAATCAACTCCCATTGGTAATGTCCAATTACATTTTGATATTTGAGTCAGAATTCTCTCAACATCTGTAAGTTCGTTGAAAACATTTTTGTAAATAGTTTGTTGGTAACTAGCACAATGCTCAACTTGTACAACCTCCACCTCCCCCAAAATAAATACTTCTATGGTAAATACCCAAAGTGTTGAAATACAAAAAAAAGCATAGCAAGGTTGCTGTATTTCAAAATTGTTTTTAAAAATATTATTAATAAAAAATATTAACAAAATATTATTGTATTGGAGTGTTCATTGCATTCCAACAATCTATCTCCATGCGTAGGTGGGATGCATGGAAGTCTCAGTTTGGTTTAGATACTCTTAAGAGTGATAATGGGTTTCCACATGTGTCAAGACAACCAGCTGACCACATTTGTTTTCAATTAAGAGACAATAAGCCAGTCTGCTTAATGCTTTTTACTCTTAATCTAGGCTGGCAGTGCAGGGGTAGCCAGCATTGTCACAGGTGCTGTCTTTCAGGTAGACAATAAAGATCCCAGTCTTACCCAGCAGTAAACAGGTACCCAGTTGTTATTCAATTGATGGATTTCTTTAGGGGGGGAAACTATCCCTTAAAAATATAAAAAAGAATTTGGTCACTCAACAACAACAACAAGATTCCATTTATAAAGCGCCTTTCACGTCAGGAGGACGTCCCAATCCACAACTGTCTGCGTGACACTTCTGTGTGCTGCGTTATATCAAGTACAAGGATTATTAACAGTGATGAGAAGTTTGTTCTAAATTTAACATTCCCAACAGAACAATTAATTCAGTGATGAGCACTTTGAGATGAATTCAAACATTCCCATTTTGTTACAACTAAAACATTAACAATGTCATCCAGGTTCAGTTGGTAGCACTCTCGCATCTGAGTCAGAAGGTTTTGGATTCAAACCCCACATTAAGGCTTTGAACTCAGTCCAGACTGACACTCCAATGGAATCCTGGGGATGAGCTGCGTTATTAGGTGCTGTCCTTCAAATGTAACTTTAAACTGAGGTCCCATCTTCTCGTTTGGTGGAAGTTAAAGGTCTCATCGCACGATTCAAAAAGAGAAGGGAGATACTCCTGGTATCCTGCCCATTATCTCCTGGATAAAATTTTGATGGATAGTCACAGAAATCTCAAAACCTCCTTTTGCACTTGAACTTAATTTAATATTCCAAGGAAAATAATTTTTAAAGGTTTAATCACAGAATTTCAGCAGCAAAAACACGGTGAAATGAAATTATCAAAAATCAACACCCTCATCTACAGATCCTTAGGAGTAATGGATTATTTCACTAAAGACACTGTTGATTTATTGGTAAGTGCTTACTTCTATTTAGCATAATCATGTTCCGTACAACAATTAATGTTACACCTGAAAACAGAACTGAACATGTGAAAACAAACAAGTTGAGATTAATTGAACTTTGCCAGTCTAGCAAGGATCATGTTGTACAAAGTTTTGTAGTAGATATAAAGTCTACCAATTATTGAAAAACGTTATTTTTTTATTTAAAGATTCTTGCATTTAATACTACTCATGACTGAGAAATTCCCAATGCAGCACAGATACAAACACAGTAAGTCTACAAAAATAAGTATCTGTAGGTTACTAACTAATTACTGCACTCTGCTGCAGATGTTCATAAATCTTCTTTTAAAGAAACATCTGCATTTTATTTTGGATTCCCTGCTTCTATTTATGAGAATTAATAACTTAAGAGCAACTATCTTGCATTTCACAAACCTTGCATTCATTTAGCACCCGTCACGAGACTGTGCACTGCTGTCATAATTAAACAGAACAAATAAGATATGTTTGCAAGAATTATCTAAATATCAGTTAGTGTGCTGAGAGCATTTCTCCATGAAATATCTGAAGTGACCTTTTTTTTCCTGATATGACCTGAGTTTGCATTTACACTTCTCACTTCATTACTATGGCTGCTCTTTTGCACAGAATTTTTAAATATATTTTGGATTCTAGTGTTTATTTGTACTATTTCTCTTTTTGTTTTCTCTTTCTCTTCGAGATGGGGAACGGTTAGTTGTTAACCTAGTCTTTGAGCTCTGTTTGTAGGGATGGTGTTTATGGTGATGGTAGTCACTTTTGAGAGTTTTTTCCTTTTTTCGCCATTCCTTTTTGTTCTGATCTGATTCCTTAGCATTTTTCCCTTGATCAGTGTCACAAGCTTGCCTTGAAGAGAGTAAAGTATTCTTAATGGTATTAACAAGAAACCGCTTGTTGGCTCCCGGGAGCGGGCACTTCATCCTGAAATAAAAAGGGTACAAGTATGAATAGGTTTGATTGTTCTGTTCTGCAGAGGATGAGGATTTACAAACATTGCCATCAGATTTCGTAAGATTTAATACAGCATAAATTCCAGCTGTCTGTAGTGTAATTCTTTGTAAAAACACTGTGTTCTTGGCAGATATGTGTCAAGATTTTTTTCTATTTAAACATACTATAAATGTAGCTTGATGTATATCATATGGCTAATTATTGCATTTGGCTAATTTCAGCTTGGTGATAGATGGTGAAAGGAACAACAACAAATTACATTTGTATAGCGCCTTTCACATAGATAATGTCCTATATATCAAAACACTGCATAGAGATTACTGAATACTTATTCAGTATTCATTATTTGTAGCAGAAGTTACAAAGGTTATGGAACCTACTACATACAGGAAACTAATTGAAAATCTCAGTAGGTTTTGCTTTAGATGACAAATCAAACTGCCCTGCATGATTCAATTATATCCATGTACATTATACAGCTGAGTGCTCTAAAAATTGGAGAGACCTAAAGAAACTCAAATTATTTTCTAATCATAAATCATTCTATCTTCGGGTATAAGGCTGTGGAAACTCACACTATCAAGTAGTAAGTTTATATAAGATTGCTTTCATGCTGATAAGATTGCTGAAGTTACCAATGTTAAATGGATTCAAACAAGTTTGCATTTACTGTGCTTTGCAATTTACACATATTTATGATAGCCAGAAAGAAATTGTGCCTCAAGGCGTATTTTACTTGCAATTTTCAAAGTTTTACAAGGATGATAATCTTCCAGTAATCACCTCTCTCCCCATTATTTTATCTTGCCATTTGTAATCAATCAGTCGATATTAAATCAAACCTTTATTAGGCCACAGCATTCTATGTCAAAAGTAGAAGAAAATGTATAATATATATATAAAATATATGTGGAGTCCTGTAGCTCAGTGGTTAGAGCATTCACTTCGCAAGTGAGAGACCTGGGTTCTATTCCCAACAGGGCAAAATGGTGCGCAAGTTTACTTACTCCAGTTAAATCCGATGAAGCGCCTCTGATAAGACCCAATATCAAATGCAAGGACTATTATTTATTATTATTCTAGGAAGGTTATCTTCCTGCTTCATATCTGCAGGTGGTTTAAGCAGTAGATGCTAATCTGGGATAGTAAAATACTAGTTTTGCTGACCAGAATCCAAATCATCTATTTCATCTTTTCACAACCAGTGCACATCCTTGACTGGACAGCGTTTTGGGATGTCCTCCCAATATGAAAGGCGCTATATAAAGGTAATTTGTTGTTTTGTTTTTCTTCTTGAACAGATGACTAGGTATGCTTTACAATGTTCAGACATATCCATCACGGAAAAATAGCTCTTGGGTTAGTACATTGAATGGGATCAGCAGTTCTTGTGTAGAACATTAAATGGTCCGCTGTGGGAATTGAAGCCCAAGGGAGCCCAACCAACTTTCTCCTGTTTTCTTATGTTTTCTAATAATCTCTGCTGAATGAAAGGGTATTAGATTTATTTGCTTGCTGATGTATTCATTGGCTCAGAAATTTGATGTTATCCAGGCTATTAAATGGATGAATCTTGCAAATGTAAACAATAAAAACAAGTCAATAAGACTTTTTCCTTACTCCACTGAATTACTGTAAACTAATGTTCAATTTTAATGAAATCTCGCCATAAACTCAAGGCTTCAAACTTTTCAAGAGAGAAGATGAATTTCATCTGCCTTCCACGAAAAACTGTACACATTTTAAAAATTAAAATGACAGATAGGAAGATACATTTAAAAATTATGCATGGAAACACCACATCAATGTATTCTTTATATCTGAATTTGTTTAGTGTAATTTCAGACATATTCTTACCAGCCCATGGGCCCCATAGATTCAGCTCTGGCTTTTCCACGCTTTGCCTCTGTAAGAAGTTCTTGCACAGCTTTCCTGTTTTTTTAAAAAAAAGGTAGTTTTATTGAGGGAAATTAAAATTCTTCCCAGCTCACCCTCCAACTGTCTATAGATTTCTTCACATCTTCCATTTGCATTGTTACTCTCCATATCTGAGGTAAAATAGCACGTTTCTAATCAAGCTAAAGTACCAAATCTGAGAAATTGTACCATTTTATGCTGTATTGTCATACACTATAAGAGATGAGTTTGTCACAATTATGCTCAGGATATAAGGTTGCAGCCGATATGATCCAGCAGTAGTGATTAGGAGCAGAAAGCCAGATTAATAGTTCCTGCTCCAAATAGCATTGAACAGGGATTTAGGCAAGCATTGGCCATGTGTAACTAAGCTCAACCAACGAACAGTTTTATATTTAATGTTAAGAAACAGCTAGTTACAGAATCAGCTCTTCAATAACATTTTAAAAGAACCTTTGACTGAAGGTCAAATCAACTCAAAGGTTTTCTAGGAGGTTTTCTATTTTTTGACTGATTTGAGGAATGGAACAATAAAGTCTATGATCCACTTTTTTACTGCAGCTCCATAAATAACTTGCACAAATGTATTCTATTGAAGAAAGCCAAATATGTTTGTGATTGTATTAACAATAGCTATGACTATTTTTCTGTAATACAAATTCACCATTGATGATTTGTGAGTTAAAGCAATTGCTTCATCTATGCTAAGTGCAAGTTTCTAATATTAGCAACCTCAACCCACGTATTGTAATCATGATTTTGCAAGTTTCATAACTGATAACTGAAATAAGTGGTATACTATTGAATTAATTCACAATAAAATTAACACATAGTGCATGCATATTTAATTAGACACCAAGGGGTGATTCCGCAATAATTGGTAAATTTGTAGATTTGGGCAGTGTGAGCTTTTAATCAGAATTTCCCAGTAGAAGTTCACACCGCCAAGGATAGTATGTTTAGAAGTCAGCATAAATTAAGATAAGATCTCTAAATTTACCAACTATGTGAATTTTGAGCAACCACCTGATCTTTCATCCTGGTGAGTGAGGTAACAACAATTTTGATACTTCCCATCTCTCTAAAATTAAGTTGGCTCTGCTAGGGAACAGTTACAAGACACCAGCTGCCCAAAGTTGTATTTAAGTATTTGCTGGATGATAATCAGGAACAGGCACTGTATTCTATTTCTCTCTTCTCCTCCCCCCACCCCTCATCATGCTACATTGTTATGTTAAATTAGGTTTTTATACTGTATTTAATATGTTTTGATGGCAGTAAATTTAAAAGAAAATACAAGTTATAACACAAATATGAAGCAAAAAAATCGGATGATGAATTTATACTATTTTATACAACACCAGCTAGAATATTTCTTAGCTTTACATAATGTGAGGAAGGAGAAGTATAAGCACTGTCCATTTGTTATTCATAGCAATAATAGCAAGACAAATATACTTCTTGGGTGGAATGAGCCTTGACATTGTACAAGGCATTTGGATGCCTTGTTCAGTGGTATTACATTCCACTGGAAAATTTTGTTTGGATAATTAGAAATTGGCACTCGAAAAGTATGCAACCCATCACACATGAATAATTGTCAGGTTTTCCAAGCCTGTTTGATAACACAAGATCGGACGAAGAAGGCCCTTCAGCTCATCCAATCTTATGACTCCAGAATAGCCCCCATCATACCCTCATCACAGCTTCAAGCTTCTTTATAAACGAGTCCAGTGTCCTAGCCTCTACCACTTTTCCTGGCAACTTGTTCCAGTTATTTATTGCCCTTTGAGAAAAGAATAACTTCCTGATATCTGTCCTGAAATTGCTCTTTATACCTTTAAACCTATGTCTTTTTGTTTTACTGTCTTGATATATCCTGAAGTATTGATCTGGGTTTACTTTTCCAAAATTTTGTACATTTCTATGAGATCCTAAGTTGTCTTCTCCCAGACTGAAATGCCCTAGGTTGTCTAATTGTTGTTCATAGCTCATTCCTCCAGGCGTTCGGTTGGACTCCCAACTATCCTTCCTCCCTCACATCCGGTTGCTGACCAGGACCACCTTTTTCCACCCCCGCCACATTACATGCCTCCTACTGTACCTTACCCCAAAGGCAGCCAAAACCCTCGTGCATGCGTTTGTCACCTCCCGCCTGGATTATTCAAACGCACCCCTTGACGGTCTCTCCAGCTCCACCATTCAAAAGATCCAGTTCATTCAAAACTCTGTCGCCCGCATACCTACCCGGACCAACCTCTGTACCCACATCTCACCAGTTCTGGCCAGGCTCCACTGGCTCCCCATCACCAAATGGATCGATTTCAAGATCCTCACACTCGTGTTCAAATCCATTTACTCCCTGGCACCTCCCTACCTCTCCAACCTCCTCACTTCCCAATCCACCACCCGGCATCTCCACTCAGCTGACACCGACCGGCCTTGATGTTTGTGCCTCACACCCTCTGCCCCACCATCGGTGGTCACTCTTTCAGCCACTACACCTCAAAACTCGGGAACACTCTCTCTCAATCCCTCCGCCTTGTCCCCTCTCTTCCCTTTTTCAAATCCCACCTGAAAATCGTCCTCTTCGACCGTGCTTATGGCCACATCCCCCCTCCCCCCCAGTCAGGCTCCTCCACTGTTAAGCGCTTTGAGATGCTACCCTGCGTGGAAGAGGCTATGTAAGTGCAAGTTGTTGTTCCTCTAACACAGGGTATCATCCGTGTTACTCTCCTCTGCACCACTTCTAGATCTTGAGCGAGGCCCTTATGTGGTAGTGATAACTAGAACAGTATGTGGTAGCGGTAACCAGAACAGTATACAATACTCAAGATGTGGTCTGACCTGAGCGCTGAGTATGACGAACGGGGTTCTAAATTCAACTCATTTAGCAATATAGCCCAGCATCCCGTTTGCCGTCTTTATTGCTGCCTCACATTATTTTGACATACTAGGCGACAATTCATTTAACACATAATCATCATAAAGTCCTTTGGCTCAGTGGTTAGAGCGCTCGCCTCGCAAGCAAGAGACCTGGGTTCAATTCCCGGCAGGGCAAAATCCTTGGGCAAGTTTTCTTACTCCACACGCCTGATAATAATCACTCAATAAAAAAAATTGGTCACTTCAATCCATAACTGTTTGTGGGACACTACTGTGCGCAATTGATGCCGCATTTTCACCCACAAATATACAGTGAATTCACTTTACAATATATTATGTGAAGAGCTTTGAGACGTTTAGAAGAGGTGAAAAGTGCTATATCAAATGCAATGATTATTATTATTATTATAAAGTGGTTTGCCTTATTAAAAACTGGAATATATAGTCCATATATATAAAAAAACTAAATTGGTCACTTCAATCCACGACTGTTTGTGGGACACTGCTGTGCGCAATTGGCTGCCATGTTTTGTCCACAAGTATAGAGTCAATTCACTTTACAGTATATTCTTGGCAGGGTGAAACCTTGGGCAAGTTTCTTTACTCCACACACCTGATAATTATCCCTCAAGAAAAAAAGCAATAATAAATTGGTCACTTCAATCTGTGACTGCTTTTGGGACACTGCTGTGCGCAATTGGCTGCCCCGTTTCGCCCACAAATATACAGTCAATTCACTTTACAGTATATTCTGTGAAGTGCTTTGAGACGTCTAGAAGACGTGAAAAGCGCTATATCAAATGCAAGGATTTTTTTTGAGGCAGGTAGGGTAGATAGAAAGGAGTGTAAATTTTACCTATTCTCATGAAGGCACTGATTAATGAGGTTCAACAGTTGCTGGCCACTTCATTTTCCTGACCATTCTTTGTGTGAACCCGAAAAACAAAATCTGGTAGGCTATTTGGTTAAGGAGATCTCTTGGTCAACCCAATCCTCATGTACACATTACAGTACTGACTTAAGAGATGGAACTCCTTCCCTATCCCGGGGATGCTAAACTCACTTACTAACCAAGCAGAGATCAACTAACTCAACACACATGGGGACTGATTGTGGGATCTTGCTCATCTGCATGGCTCAAATTACTCATCCATCAGTAGCTTTACCAACTAAGTCACTGAGGGAGTTAGTGTAATCATTTCTTGATAGAAACATTAATGTACTTCCACCACCCCCTCTCTTCCCAGTAGTGGAAACTGAGTGGAGGTGAGTGACAAAGTTCAGTGCCAAACATTAAAAATACAGTACAGTATTACCAGAAGTTTAGATAGATTAAAAGTGACATCTCTCGGTGCACTAGAAGGCTATAATGCAACCCTCACCCAAGAAGTAGAATGATAACCCTTAAGAAACAGATTAACAAACTATTTGAATCCTAAAAATATGAACTTAATCCAAAAACAATGTTTTCATAATGTCATATATTTAGGATTTTGGAGCCATTCGAAATGTGTTTGCTATAGCACAACAAAAGTTCTTCTGTCATATTTTCAGTCCAATCAAATCACAGAAAACTTTTTTTTGGTATGCCAATGCACAAGTTGGAGAAAGAGAGGGGAAGAGAAAGAAACATAGGGAAAAAAAAGCTAATAGAGTGTCTAGCAAGAAAAACAGTGCAATTGTTGAACAAATAAGCAAGTAAATGCAAAACAAGATTATTTACCCCACACACTTGAGACCTGCTGGGCCTACTCTTGGAGAAACAAGGGTAATTTCAACAAGTCCACAAGCACAAGTTTTGCCATTCATAAGGCATTGTTGGTGCATATTAAGTGCAACATTTGCCTACCTAAAATCACTCTAACTAATTGTGTGAGTGATTTGAGATAACCCAGTATCAAATGAATTTTTAAATTGGTTTTATGGATCTTCCAAAGGGAGACCTTTGTACACATCGATATTTTGCTGTGACATTTCTGAAATTACTAATAAAAGAACTTCCCTAGTCAAAAAACTGTTAGGCAAAACTGGTTAGCTTTTAAATAACTACAAATACTACTAAATAATCCTTGCATTTGATATTGTGCCTTTCATGTCAGGAGGGCATCGCAATGTGCTTGAAAGGATTT